TAATATACATGTCCACAAACATCCACAGACACATAGCCCCCCCATCCACACCCCCACACTCAACACATTTACACTACCTCCTCTTCAATTCAGTTTTCAACATTAACTTAAGACAGCTGAACCCTGTTTACTCTCATCATGAGTGTGCAAATGTGTGCATGGTGTGTCTGTGCAAGCAGTGGTTCGAAAACAGGGTTTTCTTTTCCTCATGTGGCAGGACCTTCGGCGATCTATAAGAAGGAAAATCACTGCCTAGCTATGACCACCAAAGCTGTCCTGTGGGAATGGGCCCAAGACTCCCATTTCCTTGGTGACCAGATGGCAGGGAGCAGAAGCAGGGCTTTGGACTGGGGACCTGACTTGGTTTTCTCTGTAGTGTGTGTCTCTCTGTGACGCAGGCTCACATTCAGAGCTGGCCAGTTGGCATGGATGTGGCCCCTTCTGCTTGCTAAGTTGGTCTTTGGGGCCCAGCCAGGTGGGCACCGGAGCCAACATTTCCCTGGAAAGCATGTAACTCCGCAGGGGAGGGCTGGGACCTGTCTGAGAGTGCTGTTGGCGTTGCAAGTGGCTGAGGTGCTCCTCCCGAAGTGAGCCTGACTTTCACCGTCTATAGGGTGGAGGCTTGGAGAGACATCCTTGCAGTTCCTCTGGGTGGTCGTTTGTACCTCCAGGATGGTGGAGATGAAAGCTGGCAGGACAGGTCAAGCCCCTAGCTCTGGCGTGGCCTTTTTCAGGACTCAGAAGATGGTGGCCCAGGAGCACTTCAGGTCACTCTGTTGAGTATGGGGGAGGAGGAGGAAACCTAAGTGACCTTGAACATCGTTGGACATTGCCTTTCCATTCTTCTTCCCTCCTTCACTGTGCACAGACATAACTCTATTGGCCAGCAGAAGTGGGCCTGGTACTATGGCTCAACAAGGTCACCTGACCTCTCTTTACAAGGAAAATGGACAGAGGGGCCCAAAGAATCCCCCAGCCTCAGCCAGACAGCATTCAATCATCTCATTTGATGAATGTTAACAGTGTCACTCAAGACTCAAGAGTTCTACTTGGACTGGGTGTTGCTGGTCATGTATTCCACTTTATGTGGCCCTGTAGCCCTACAGGGCGCCATCTGAGTGACAAGCCGTTCAGGTATATTGCCCTGTTATTTTTAGAACGAAGAATTTGACTGGCCTCACCTGCCACTGACTACAAAGTCTGTCATGAGCCTCCTTAGTTCTCAATTAGCTACAACTGAGGCAATTGGAGCACTGTGTGTGTGTGTGTGTGTGTGTGTGTGTGTGTGCTCACTGCATGTGTGCCCGTGTGTGTGTGTGTGTGTGTGCTCACTGCATGTGTGCCCGTGTGTGTGTGTGTGTGTGTGTGTGTGTGTGTGCCCGTGTGTGTGTGCTCACTGCATGTGTGCCCGTGTGTGTGTACACAGCATGTGGGTATGCTCAGGCTGGCACTGTGTGATAGAGCTAAAATAATCAGAGCAGGGATGGAAGCTGTGCTCAGAGTGGTGGCGAGTGAGGGCTCTGCTTCCTTTTTGGTACTCAGAGTCACAGGCTGCTACTGTGAGTTAGGTCACAGGTCACCAACTCGAACAAATCTCTCTTTGTTCCTTTCTTCCCCCACCTATACCCTCTCACCCAGAGCCTTGTCCCCCCAAGAAATCAGTCTTCTGGAATTGAGAGTAGGATGCTGCAGGCTGCTGGAGATCAGAATAACTGTTCTCACAGCAGCCCAGGGAGCATAGGTGCAGTGGGGCTTTATCAGGGCTTGGAGCACTGATGTTATACCAACAAACACCAGTGATTGCACTAACACTCAGTGGTGGTGGTGATAACAGCAACAGAGATACTTTAGAGGACATTTATCACATTTAATTATCCAGCCACCCTCTGAGTCACAGAGAAGCTAAGTAATTCATGTTATACTGCTCAGCACCAGGGGACTCTAGAGTGTAAGCAACCCAGATTCTACAGCTAATCACCGCATCGTGCTGAGGTTTAGAGAGGAGTCCAGTATTGAAGGACAGACTACATAGAGTCTTTTGGATGACAATTAGGAAAAATTCCTCAGGGTTTAGTAAACCTCCTTTGGGGAGCCTTCTAAACCCCATGCTGTTTTCTATGATACATGTTAAATCCAGGAAGACCCTAGAGACTGTTAAAGGGCTGAACCTCTGAGATCAGTAGGAGCTACTGAAGGTTTTGAGAAGAGAAAAGGCGTGATGGAAGGAGCTTTAAGGGCATACACCTGTTAGCAGCAAGGGGTCAGTGGGTTCAGAATAGGGACAGAGAAGGAACGGAGTCAGTCATGGGGTCAAGGTGACCTGGTCTACAGTTAAAGCCATCGAAGCCAGCCGGACATCTGGACCTTGTTTGTTTCTCTACTAAAGAGATTTGGAGGTACATTTCCAAATGTCTAGGATATCTGGCATATTCTTTGACTCCTTGATGTTGTCAGATTGGCCAATAGATGTAGGACGAAGAGGGATGAGCTCTAAGGAATAGGCAGGACCTACAGAGTCCGGGATCTGCTAGGGAAGATGAGAGAGTGAGGAGTTAACTGTGGCTTCCGAAGCTCAAGGTGAGGCTGGAAGAACAGAGCTGTGAGGAAGTATGAATCACACAGCAGGCTGAGCAAACACCTTCCTACTGTGCCCAAGCAAACAATAGCAACAGCATGTGTGGATAAATTCTTTTAAGCCCAACATTTCATTGTCAAATTACCCAAGGAAGGCTGGAGTAAAGCTCAGTGGTAGAGCACTTGCCCTGTGTGCAAGCACGTGGTTTCATCCCCAGCACTTAGACATTTTTAAAACTTTTAAAAGATTTACTTACATAGCCGGGCAGTGGTGGCACATGCCTTTAATCCCAGAGCTCGGGAGGCAGAGGCAGGCAGCTCTCGAGACCAGCCTGGTCTACAAGAGCTAGTTCCAGGACAGCGTCCAAAGCCATGGAGAAACTCTGTCTTGAAAAATTAAAAAAAAAAAAAAGATTTACTTACATAGAAACAAGCGGGGAGAGGCCGGGTTGACTTTTGCATCGCTGCAAGGATCATACCACTTCTTAGCAAGGCTTCCACTTTGCAGGGAAGAGCACGATAAGTGCTTGAAGCTTTCCAAAGGCTATCAGGTGATAGAGCTTGCTTTAGATGGAAGGCACCAGAGATTATAGGTTGCCCAGGTGGCAATGGAAGGTGAGGGGGATTATGGGATAGCAGCAGTCAGAGAAGAGCTGCAGGTCCCCTTACTAGAAAGATGTCTATCGAGGCTCGGAGAGAAGAGATTCTCAAGAGAAAGGATTTGAGGAGACATCAAGCTGAGATTTTCCTTTCTCGGTACCAATGGCCTTGCCACATACCCTTCAGACACACCACTGTCTGCACAGACAGCGTGTGCCACCCTGCTTGTGCAAAGCTTGTTTACCTGGAGAATGCACTCTCTTAGAGCAAAGGATTCTTTTGTGTGGTTGGTTTTCTGAGACACGTCTCTCTATATAGTGCTCACTATAAGACCAAGCTGGCCTCGATCCCCACCTGCCTCTGCTTCCCGAGTGCTGGGAGTAGTGGCACATACCTTTGATCTGAGCACTCAGGAAACAGAGGCAGGCAACAGCTGGTTGGGGAGAAACATGGAGACGGCATGACCTTCCAGAATCAACTAAGTACATGCTACTGAAGAGGCTCAGGGAGGATCATGGACTGGTCGGCCTCTCTCCTCACACATGGTATGCACAGGGTTTGAGACATTTGGACAACAGTATCTGCTGCAACTGTGTGCTATGTGTGCAGGCTGGTCCAGGCTCAGGTCTGAGCTGCTTGCTGTTAGAAGAGCTCTCCCTCCCTCCCTCCGTCTGTCTCTCTCTGTCTCTCTCTCTCTCTCCCTCTCTCCCTCCCTTCCTCTCTCTTGTTTGGATTATCATGGGATGAGGAGGTGGCATGGGGAGACCCCTTTGCTCCCCATATTGCTGCTTCTCTTCAGTGGGGCAGCTTTTGTGTATGAAACTAGATAAATGTTAAAAAAACCATTTTTAAGTGTCATGGTTCTGGGGGTCATGATGCTGGAGGGTCTCTAGACAAATCTCTTTTGCATGTGGCTTTGGCCGGGCTCTGGGTGGTTCTGGCTGAGATGCTGGGATTAGCAACCTTCTTGTTCCAGCAGAGTAAGAGGCTTCTGATGTGACATACCAGGCTCCCAAGAACATTAAAGTGGAAACTGCCAAGAGTTCCAAGAGTTATGCTAAGGTTGGCAGCATAGCTCTGCTGCCTAATTCCCGGGGGTCTGCCCCCCCAGTAAAGGGGAGGGGTCAGTCTTCTCCAGTGTCACATTTGGGGCTGGGTTATGAATAGCAAACTCCTAGCTGGGTCTAGGAAGAGAACCTGGCTGCCTGCCCTAACATCAGCCTCTAATGGCCTTCCCTTCCCCAGAGGCATTGTTTTATGCCCATGGGCCTTTAGATTTCTCTTTGCTGATCTCTCTGTCATTTGTCACAATAGTGACTCTCTTTTGGGCCTAGGATCTGAACCCAAAACCAGGAATACCCATCAAGGTGAACCAGGGGTAGTAGTTGGTTTCAGGCAGGCAGCACAGATGGTCGCTGTGGTGACAGCATTCCCACCTAGGGGCCTAGAGAATTGGCAACAATAGTTACTCTAGTCCCCTTGCCAAAAGGCCATATGCAATGGGCCAAATATTGGCTGAGGTGAGCAGCTGCTGGAAGGAGGAGCTGAGACTGAAGGGACATGTTTCTGAAGTCACTGACCCCTGGTCCCCTCCCTCCTTCCTCTGGGCCAGCTCAAAACACTTGTCACAAGTAAGGTCACCAGACCAGTGAAGGCAGGGTTCCCCCCAGGTCACAGAGCTGCCTTCCTCAAGGCCTCTAAGTGAGGACCACCCCAGCCGGCACAAAGGGACATTGCCTTTCTGGCTCTAAAGGGAGAGGTCACCAGGAGTTGCCTGCTACATCATGACAGAGGAGCAGGGATTAGCTTGAAGAGACAAAAGTGAAGACATGAGAAATGGCATTCTTTATTCATAAATAAAAACATAAAATTACCAGAAATAGTTTACAGAGCCAACAAAGAATTTCAAAAATAAAACAAGATGAAGCCATCAAGAGCAAAGCAAACCACAAACAAGGGAGAGAAAAATAACTATGTACACAGTCTTCAAAATGCCAATCCCTCAGAAGCCAGCCTCTGCCAAGGGCTCCAGAGCCGTCAAGGGGGGAAGCAGGTGCCACTGAGAGGTGCTATGGTCTCTTATGTGGCATCTGAGGAGAGCTCGGGTCCTAAGGAAACCTCTGGTCCAGCTCGGCTTTCCCTCGGGCATCTCTCTCTCGGGAGACACAGCCAGGCTGGAGCCAGGACAAGAGGGTCAACAAGCATCCTAGAGGAGAGACAGCCAGTCCTCCAAATGGTCCCCTGCTGAAGCTCAAGGGCACCTGACGAGAACAGAACTGAGCAAGAAGGTGCTGGGCCTTGCAACACCTGAGGTGGGCTCTTCTTGAGGGGTGGTTTTCTTCCTTGGGAGAACAGCAGCACTCCCAGACCAGACACCTCTGGGGAACAACACGGTTCTGAGAGACAAACCATGGCAGGCAACTTGTCTGCCCTGAACCTACGCATCCCAAGGGCTGTTCAATCTGAGCCTTCCAACATGGGTATAGACCACAGAGAGTGAGAAGACTTTAGGACAGAGGCAAGGAGAGCCCACAAGAAGGCAAGGTTATTGGGTTACAGCACAGTTGCATCCTGGAGTTACCCTGGGGTCTGGGGCTGTTAGTTCTGCCCACCTTGGTTGGTTGTTGGACAAGTCCCAGACAGAGATCTCAGAGATGACCTGCGGCACCGGACTGGGCAGTGATGCGGGCAGAACTCCCTGGGAGTGGAAGGCACCGGACACAGACACGGAGGGCACGCTTGGTGCCTGTGCGCCTGCTCCAGGCATGGCATCCGCTTCTTTGTAGACAAGGACCCCCACGGCACAGCACTGGGCTCCTGGCTGCTCTTCCAGGAGGTGGAATCCTCCAGTCTAGGGAGGGGCAGCTAACACCAGTCTTGCCCCTCTCCCCCCCCATTGGACGGTCTCAGTGGGAAGAAGGACTCAAACAAGGCACGGACTGGTAGAGAACAAAGGACTGAGGGCCATCAATTTTTTTTTAAAACTGGGCTGTAGGGCTGGAGAGATGGCTCAGTGGTTAAGAGCACTGTCTGCTCTTCCAGAGGTCCTGAGTTCAATTCCCAGAAACCACATGGTGGCTCACAACCATCTACATTTCAATCTGGTGCCCTCTTCTGGCATGTAGACAGAACACTGTATATGTAATAAATAAATAAATCTAAAAAAAAAAACTGGGCTGTGAATGGTGCCCAGTGGAGGGTATGACCCTACAAGTGGGGGAATGTCATCTTTGGTCTGTAAATTCCAGGTTTAAATTGAATGTGTGACTATGGGCAATGGTAGATCAGGAGTCAGCAGGAGAGGCCAAGCCTAACCCCGGGATCAGACAGCAGAGCCATCTACATGGGTGGCACCTAGCCTACAGACACTAGGAAGGGAAGAAAGCTCATGGAAAGACAGCATCAATGGGGATGGGGTCCACCCAGGGACTCTAGGGGCCAGCATTAGGAAGGTGCTAGAACTATGGTTAGTTCCCAGCCTGCCAAGCACCTAGACCCTCCCTTATATCTCCTATTCCCTGGGTCCCGCCCACCAGGCAAGCACATGGCTCAGGAATCTAGCAAGGGCTGGGTGTCCTACCGACAACAGCTGTGGTAAGAGTCAAAAATAGAATATGGAGCAGCCTGGCTGCCTGCTTAATCTGGCTTGCTTTGGAACTACAGAATGGGAGGGGGCGGGAAGAGCAGAAGACAATTCCTTGAACCAAGCAACTGTACTTCCCTCTGCCCCTAGCACTGGATATCTTCAAAAGACAAGTCCCACATGGTCACGTGCTGTTCTCTAGACTGACTCTCTGCAGCTTGGGGCTCCACGAGGGGGGGGGGCTGTGTATGTACCCTGTATCATACCCCACACCTGGGACTGCAACCCACTCGGCATTGGTGACCCTTCCCAATCTACGAAAAGTCGTAACATAGCTCTGAAGATGCTATAGGGGAAGAGATGCTGCTGGCTAGGGCTACAGGCAAGGGAGGCTAGTGCCCGGCTCCACGCTATCTAAGTGGATGGGTTATTCTGGATCCAAGCAAGAGTCTGACATTAGGGGTGGCGGGGAGGGGAACAGTCCATATTGGCTGCTGGCCAACCGAACCATTCAGGGAAGCCCCTGGAGTCTTGGCCTTGGCTGGACCAAGTAGGAGGCTCCCCAGGAGCAGCTGGGAAGCTATGACTCTTATCATTTCCATGCATCCCACTGGGGACCCCAATGTTTATGGCTTTAAAAAGGGTGACCGCTGAGGGTAAAGGGGTTGTGCAGCTCATTTTAGACTCTGGATCCCAGTGTCTGCCACGAATCTCTCCCTTCACCTCTTACTCTGACCTCTGGGAGACCTGTGACAATTCTGTAATGCAGGACTGTCCACCCAACCCCCTTCCTCCCATGACTTGCTGGCAACCCCACCCCTCCACCTCCACAATCAGAAAAGAACAGGCTGCAGCAAAGAGTGTCCAAGGCTTCTGGTTACGCATGGCTTCTTTTTATCTCAAGGCATCCCAATATGCCTAGGGGATAGCAGGGAGTCGGGGATGACAGGGAAGATGTTTCTGTCCTTGGGTGGCCACTTGGCCTGTACGGTAGTTGCCCCACTCCCTGCTGGGGCGCCTTTCTCACTACTTTGAATGAGACCAAAGTTGAGAGAAACATCAACCAGTCCATGGAGCTCCCTGAACACATCTCCAGGAGAGTTCGGGGTTCAGAGATCGAGGTCCAATCAGCAGCAGGGTAGTTAGACTGAAAAAGGCAAGAGGGGAGGAAAGGCTGTGTGGTGACCCCTACCCACCACTGGAGACCCCTGAGTCTGGGCGCCAGAGCTCACTTCTCTCTTGGAACAGGCTCAGCACGCCCTGCCTCCTGGGGTCCAGTTCCCAACCCTCCGTCCCCTCGGCAGTCCCTCAGATCTCAGTGGCTATGATGTCCTCATAGGGAATGTCGGCTCCCTCCAGGTCAATTTCAAAGGGCTCCATGGCACTGTCCCCGCGGGCCAGCTGCTGCAGTGCCTTCTCTAGACGCTGGTTGCGCTGGTACATGGCCAAATAGCTCTGTTGCAGCTGCTTTTGGTACTGAATGACTTTCTCCTTCTCTTCCTTCCACACCAACCGCTCGTGCTGGAAGCCCGAGGACATCTGGTCGTGGCCTTGCCTCTCCTCCTTCAGCTCAGCCCGCAGCCGCTCCAGCTCCCGCTGCAGGGCAGGGATGTCCTCTGAGAAGGTAGGCCCAATCCCCAGGGGCCCCAGAGATGCGGCTTCTCGCTGCAGGGCAGCCTGGGCCCGCAGCTCCAGCAGCTCCAGCTCCAAAATGTTCACCTTCTCTCGCAGCAGCTCCGCCTCGTTCTTCTTGCGCTGCAATTCGTTCTCACAGACCTCCAGCTCCAGCCCCTTGGTGCGCAGGGCACCCTCCAAGTCCTGCGTCTTCAACTCCATGCCCTCCAGCTTGCCCCGGATGTCCTTCAGCTGTGCCTTCAGACTGAGGATCTCGCTGGCCTTGGTGTTCACCTCTATCTGGGACTCTTTGAGCTGCTGCTTCAGAAGAGAGATCTCGCCTGACTTCTGGCACACCTGCCAAGGGTGGGGTGAGAAAGGGTGAGACATGGTGCCAGAGGTGATTGGCATCCTAACCAAGACGACATCTCCACTTCCTAAAGGGCTCAGGCTGCTCCTGGTCTTGTGCATGTAGACAATCTACTTCTTTTTGCCTGCATTTTCCAAGCGCCTACACCTTATCTCCAGTTCAGGCTCCACACCCCAGTCTGTGCCCAAATCCAAGGCTATATGCGACTCAATAATCAGTGGCTTACCCCACCCACTGCTCCCAGCTCGATCACCCACCTTTAACACCGGCTTGAGGGTGCAAATGCCCAAACCTCACACCTGCGTGTGCCCACTCCTGCATTCACCTCTGGGGTAAGACTAGTCCACCTTGTCCTGCTGTACCCCGAAGGTGCATCCAGCCTAGCCCACAGACAAGAGTCCAGTACACATCTGCCAGACAATAAACTGTGGGCTTCCTCCCTTCCTGGCTTCTCCAACCACTTCAACACCCCTTGGCCATGAATGCTGGGCCAGGAACACAAGGAAGTCGGGTCAATTTGTCTCTGGGGTCTTGGCTCTTTGGGGCCATATCATGGTATGGTTGTACCATGGTATGTACACCAGCCTACACGTATCAAGCCTTTCACCTCCGACTGAAAAAAGAAAGCATGAAAGAAAGGAAAAAGTTGATGTTTTTTTTAAGTGCTTGTCTAATATGCATGAGGCCCTGGGTTTGATCTCCACCATGAACCTCTCCCACAAAAAAAGGAAGCCTGGTGACCAAAGCCAGTTAGACTAGTAAAATGAAGGCCAGGGCTTGGCACTACAGAATGGACTCTTGGAGCAAAACTAGAGGCCACACCCCTGAGTTTCTCCCTTTTCTTCTCCCAGTAAAGCACCCCCTTTGCTCCCAATGAAACCCTGACCAATGAAAAGGAGAACACCTTAGCCTCACCACCATGCAGTTAGAGCCCAGAATTTCTTGACAAGGCCAAATCCAGACCTTGCATGTCTCCCAAAGCCCACATGTTAAAAGCCTGGCTTCCAGTGTGGTAACACTGAGAGCTATTGAAACCTCTTAGAAGTAAGGCCTAGCGGAGGATGGTTAGCCATTGGCCCTTGAAGGGGACTGTGGGATCCTGGCCTCTTTGTTCTCTTCCTTGCTTCCTCACCATGAGGTGACCGTTGTATGGCCACAAGCCCCAACCATGATAGGCGTCATCCCAGGCCCAAAGCAACAGTCTGTTAGTGGATCACGAAGTGGAACCTCTGACACTACAAACCTTTCCTTTTTGTAAATTCATGCCTTGTGCATTTTGTGACGATGACAAAAAAAAACCCAAAAAACAAAACAAAAAAAAAAACTGCAAGCCTATATAAGCCTGAGGGAGAGAGTGAGGACAGCCACATAAAGTGCAGGCTTTGAATCCTGCTTGGATCACTATGTACCAGGAGAAGCTGGCACATTAGCGCGGAGGCAGCGTGCAGTCAAGAGTGTGAGCTCTGTGGATGCTGAAGGTGAAATGGCTAGCAGGCTCAACACATTGGTCTCCAGCCCTGACAGCCTGAATTCTGGGACCCACATGGTGAAAAGAACCAACTCTGGAAAGTTGACCTCTGGCCTCCACATTTGGGCAGTGGCATGTACATGCCCATCCCCCAAATAAATAATGAAAATGAGAACTTCCAGTCCACATTCTTTCTTTTGTTTGTTTGTTTTGTTTCCATACAGGGTTTCTCTGTGTAGCTTTGGAGCCTGTCCTGGAAATCGCTCTGTAGACCAGGCTGGCCTCGAACTCACAGAGATCCGCCTGCCTCTGCCTCCCAAGTGCTGGGATTAAAGGCGTGCACCACCACTCAGCTCCAGTCCACATTCTTATAGTTAAATCCTAGCATTGATCTTTCATATGTATCAGATGTTAGCCAAATCACTTAGTCAGATATTTGCTATCGTAGCTAACCTGTGTCAGTTCCCTAATTATAAAATGAAAAACCCTAACATACCTACTTCACAATATGGTTATAAGGATTAGATAGAAGATCATAGTACTTCCTAAATTCCCTGTAAATTAAATGGGCTTATACCAATATTTATGCCCCCATTTATTACTGGTTTTTTTTTGTTGTTGTTTTGCTAGGTATCCTGACTAGCCAAGGTTGGAACAAGATCATTGCAATATGCAACTTAGTTCTAGACTGGACCATAAGGATGGATGACAAAGACCAACACTCACTTTTTATCTCTGAGATGCACAAAAGGTCCCTTTCTTCACCCTTCTTGTGACTGCTTGTCACTTTATGGATGAGGACAGGCAGCTCCAGGCAGTCAGGGCCATGCTGCTGATGGTGAGCCTGATGCTAATCCATCCTAACAGAACCACTGCTGTCCTTCCGTACACAGAATTTCAGCGTGAACAGCAGCGCTGACGTACACACACCCTACCTGTCTGCCTGGACCTACTAGCAGGATTCATGAGGGACCTGACTGCTCTCCAATCAGGCCAGGCTCATACGACTCATTCCAAAATGACTGAAGGACTGAAGAAATAGAGCCGGAATGGAGTGCTTTCCTAGCAAATGTAAGGCCTTAGGTTTAATCTCCAATATGCATGCACGCACTCAGAGAATCCAAGACAAAAGAAAACAGAACTTATCCCCAAAGTGTGACTGTGTGTCTGGTTTTCCTTTTTCTTCTTTCCCCAATGTTTAAATCTCAGTAGAATCTGGTCTTATACCTCGGCAAGGAGGGTCAATTTCATCATTTATTACTTTCCACTCACGGCAGTGTTAAGACCCCTTTCCCCAAAGCACCAAATAGGATCCTCAGACCCAACAGACACAGGTGTGACTATGCTTCTGTCTAGTCTACATAAGTGAGGTCAGCCCTCGGGCAGCCTGGCTGAACCGCACTTGTCTGGTAAATTCAAAGAGTGGGGGCCATGAGGAGGAAGATGGAAAGAGCAAGAAACAGGGACTGACTCAGAGCACCCCCATGCTAGTTCAGGGGGACTGCTGGGATCTTACCTCCCACTGGGTCTCCTCCAGTGCAGGGACAAAGTTGGTCTTCTCCCGCTCGTAGGACCTCAGCTTGGTCTCCAGCAGGTCCTGCTCCTTCATGAGGCTCTCGAGCTCCTGCCGAAGCTGCCGTTTCTCCTGCTGCAGCTGTAACACCTGCAGCTGGAGAACCTGCTGGGCGCGCTGGCTCTTCTGAGAGGCTGGCTTCAGCTTGCTCTTAGGTTCCAGGCACTCCGGTTCGTCCCTGGTACGCCTCGGCCGCTCCTCAAAGGTCTGCCCGGAGACAAACTCCTTCTCATCGAAACTGCGCTGCAGTTTCTGCAGCGCACTCTCCCGCTGCAGCAGCTTCTGCTCCAGCTCCTGGATGGTGCCCTCGTCCGTGGAGAGTGGGGACCGCACGCAAGAGGAGCCCTTGTCTGCCTTGCCTGGGTGAGCCAGCTTGCTGCCCCCGTCAGAGAATGACAGAGCCTTTAGGCTCATCATATTACTGTCCTGAAGGATGATGCCTTGTGTGATGTTGTGGGCTGAGCCCCCAAAGCGGCTGGTAGGCCCCACGGGGGTGACCAGAGGATCCAGCTGGTAGCTGCTGGTGGTGCTGTGTGTGGGCAGACTGGACATGGAGTTCCGGCCTGAGTCAGACAGTGCCCCTGAGCACAGGCCTGGCTTCAGCTCCTGCTCCTTGGGTTTGTCCGCAGGCATGGGGTGAAGCTGGTGGCTGGCACTCTCGGGTGAAGAGTGGAGAATAGCTCCTGACCGTGGCAGCACGGGCTTGAAGGCAGTGGGCCTCACTGGCCCCTTGTCAGAGCTCTGGGGAAACAAAGGACCACGGAAACTTGAGTGTCCCTTCCATGTCCGTGTCACCTTTCCTCACTGTGGGTGTACATGTGCCATCCTCACGAGCCCACCTGAGCCAAGAGGACACGTGACACCCTTCTTTCTTGGTAGCCATGGTAAACCTTGTTAGCTCTGGATGGACTGAGTTCTTGTACACATGTGAGTATGTGTGTGTGTGTGTGCGCGCGCGCGCGCGCGCGCCACAGCATGCATGCGGCGGTCAGAGGACAGCTTTCAGGTGACCATTCTCTCCTTCTACCATGTGGAAGTCAGCCTGTCCAGCTTGGTGGCAAGCACTCAACTGCTGGGCTATCTCCCCCACCCCAGCACACCATTCTTGGGAAAGCTCTGAGGGAGCTGGAGGCAGTGTTCAAGAACACTGGCTGCTCTTCCAGAGGAGCTACATTTCATTCCGTACACTCACATGGTGGCTCACAACTGTTTTGTAACTCTAGTTCCAGGGGACCTGACACAGTCTTCTGGCCTCTGTGGATACCAGGCACACACGTGGTATACATATATACATGCAGGTAAAGGCTCACATACATAAAATAAAATAAAATAAAATCTTTGAAGAAGGAGGAGGCCAGGCTTGATGGCACACACCTTTAGTCATTAACTTGGGAGGCAGAGGCACACGGAATGTCTTCAGTGACGGCCTAGTCACTGTGCTAATAGCAGTCACTGTCACTGGTCCCAGCACTCTAGGCTAGGGTAAGGCAGACGGGCACTGTGGTGCGGTGCAGTCAGGGCAGCAGGCTATGCAAACACAGCACTTGCTTGCCCGCTGCCTCCTCCACTGAGCCTAGCACAAGACTGAATCACTACTTCCAGTCCTAATTGGAAGATCATTTGGAATAGAAGTCCTTTCCGAAACTTGCAGTTTCCCTCAGTGGAGGACCTCACCTTTCATGAGACCTTCATTTGGAAAGCTCTGGGCAAACACAGGCATCTTTCTTATTCTAGCTTGAGAATTCCTGGTCCTAAAATCTCAGATCTGAAATGCTCCAGAATTTGCAAGGCTTTGAGCCCAGACAAGATGCCAAGAGTGGGGAAAAAAAATCCACACACTAGGAGATTTTGGGTTGGTTTGTGCATAAATTATTTAAAACATTATATAATCATTTTCCACTTTTGTGTGCCCGGTATATATGAAACATAAAAGAATGTTGTGCTTAGACATCTCATGTCCATACAAATATTTCATAATCTGAAAGACAATAACCTTGAACCCTCTGGTACTCCTGTTCCCAAGCATTTCAGATAAGGGGTATTTAACCTATGTTTTAAAGCCATTGGCTCTGCATAGAGTGGGCATGGGGACTGGCTTCCAGTGTGCACTAGTGAGGTTTATGAGATTCTGAACTGCTGGAGGGGCTAGATTTCTAAATACCCAGGGCTCTTTGTAGGCATCCTTGCTCATCTGATAACAAAATCCCATGGCCCTTCTCCAGCCAAGGGGGCCAGAAACCAAACCACAGATAGATAGGGCAGGGACAGAGGGAGGATGCTCGCCTCCCAGAGGCCCCTAGAGAGCATCCTCATCTCCCTTTCGCTCTTCAGGGGATAAGAGCTGCCCTTCTTCCCTAGCCTGCTGATATTTGACCCATCAGAACCATCCAGCTATGTCCCAGCAGAACCCAGAAAGGCTAGATTCCCTGCTGCCCTTTGTTCCAGGGCAAACCTAAGACTTCCGGTTTAGGGGATACACTTGATTTCTGCAGTGAGGCCAAACATTTCCGCTCTCACCCCTGTTGCTCTGGCCTCTTGGAGGACTAAATGCTTGGACCAGGGTCATCCCTACTTCTTCTCAATGCCCCCAAACACCTTTGTCAAAGCACCCCACTTACCATTTCCAGCTGATTGGAGAAGGGCATGAGTTTAGGTGGGGTGGCTGGGTCAAAATCGACCCCAGCCTGCCCCCCCATGTCCCCACTGGATAGGGCCGTGTAGTCTGGGCGGTGGGAGCCTCGGGCCTTCTGGCTGACCTTGATGTAGAAGAAGTCTTCGCTTTTTCCCATTTTGGAGCTGGACTTGCCACGCCCTGAGTCCTGGGAGAAGCCAAATTTCAGCAGCCCATCCGAGTACCGGTTGAGCTTCTTGAGGTGCGAGGATTTGCGAAGCTTGTACTGCGAGGCCCGGCAATGCTTGCTGTGGAAGCTGTGGCCTGAGATGAGGCTGCTGACACTGCCCATGGTGACACGTGGCCAAGGGACTGTGGGCTACTACAGGGGCCTGGTGACACGGTAGCAGCAAAATGTAGTCCTGGCTCAGCCAGGGGACTACGGTCAGAGCAAAATCCTCTCAGAGCATGGGAGAGCCATGGACCTGGAAAGACACAGAGAGATCATACATACACCGTCATGATGATTTCAGGAGTGTCATTATTCCTACCATGCAACCTCGATGGTAGAGAAATGTGTGTCAGTCAGATGCTAGCACTGCCTCTTCCTGAGTGCTTCTGTCATTCTGACGACATGAGCAGGTGGGAGGGAGGTGGCATCCAGTGGATGCTGAAGCATGGCACATGATCATGGGACCCATGTGCAGTGTCATGGGGATAGACAGCCCGTAGCTAATCTACAGGCCCGGCACTATGCTAAGGAGAAGTCAGGATGTTTATGTCGGGGGTCAGAAACGACAGAGTTCTGTATGCCCAGGGAGTACTGAGGTTTAGAAGCGTCCCTCAGGATTTCTGTTTTGGAAAAGCAGTCTCCAGTGTCATATGTTCATGGTATTTGGGAATGTGATTTGAACTCAGTAGGATGAGATGAGATCATAATTCCGGAAGACTAATGACGACATGGGTGGCTCCGTAAGAGGAAGTAAATCTAGGTGTGATGGCACATACCTATCAGCCCAGCACTTAGGAGGTAGAGGCAGGAGGATGGAGAAGTCAAGGCTAGCCCAGACTGCATGTTAAAGACAGAAAAGGCCTGGGCTATGTCATAGTAAGAACCCGTCTTTTCAGAAAAGGAGGAGGAGGAGCAGGAATGAGGCGGAACTGCACACTTGCTCTATCTGGAAATGTGCTGCCTGTACAACCCCTCCCCCTCATCGGGGGCAGGGGAACGGGGGACAGGGGATGGGGGCAGGGGGGGATGGCTAAAGCACATTCTCCACAGCAAGAAGGACTGGACTGGTTGTGAATGTGCTACCCTTCCTGAACTTCTTAGGCTGCAGAACTGTGAGCTGAATATGCCTATATTCTTTATGAATTATTCTGTTAATGGCCTTCTGTCATAGTAAGTGATGTCGTCAGACTTGCATCAGAGGAGATCTGGAGAAACTGAGGTGCAGGCCATGGGAATCTGGGAAGGACAAAGCTTCAAGAAGCTGCAAGTACAAAAACCCTGAGAGCAGAGGCAGAGTGCTCCTGGGGACCAGCTGGGACGCCGTCCGTCCTGACTGGAAAGCCGTCCTGACTGGAAAGCCCCTGGGTTGGCAAGGTCCCCTGGAGAAGCAGCAGCAGCAGCGGGCAGAGAACCTGCAGGCAGGTCCAGGGAGCAGGGAGTTTAGGCACCTGCAAGGATTTTAGCTTGACTGAGACAGGAAGGAGTGTAAGCAGGGGACAACTTCATTTCCTGTGATGCAGAAGGCCCCTACAGCAGCTGGGTAAAGGGGCCGCGGAGGGGCTCAGCTGTTAGTGGCTGATTCAGTTGGGCTGGAGTTAGCTGGGAACTGTTTTGGATGTACTTTCAAGGCTGGTCTGATAGGATTTGCAGAAGGATTTGGTAAAGTGAGAGAAAGAGAAGACAAGAAGGGCTCTGGGAGGTCTGGGAGGATGGAGGGCTGGAGGATGTAGTTTGTTGGTAATGCGACTGTCCTGGCAACAGAGATGATATTCTAGAGATGCTGAAACAAAGGGTCTCAAAAGGGGCTGGAGAGATGGCTCAGAGGTTAAGAGCACTTGACTGCTTTTCCAGAGGTCCTGAGTTCAATTCCCAGCAACCACATGATGGTTCACAACCATCTATAATGAGACCTGGCACCCTCTTCTGACAGAACAGTGTATATATAATAAATAAATCTTTAAAAAAAAAAGGGTCTCAAAAATGAACGTTTCCCTAGGAATCTTGAGGGGTGAAATCTGAGGTCCTCCTTGACAGTCAGAGGTTGATGTTGCCTCTCAGATTTCTCGAAGTTCTGACAATTTATGTGAGCACCCTGCAGGAGAGACTGAGTCCATGATGGACAGGACCACATCCTACTGGAACTGCTTAATTATGTATACCCCTAGCTCTCAGGAAAACGCTCAGATCAGTTACTCTGAAGAGGACTTAGAACAGAAGCATCACTTACTCTGCGTCTATCCCGCCTCCCAGCATGTCCGCATCAAATAAATCTCCCCTCTCTGATTTTTCACTAGTGCTTGTCTCTTTAATTGGTATAGTAGGGATGGATGGCATAGCCTAGCTTATTGAGGCTGCCAAAGCCTAGACTTTTATTTAAAATTCTATTAACAGTAGGGCAGTTACCAAGCATGCACAAGGACCTAGATTCTATCCTTAGCATGCATGTGAGTGTGTGCGTGCATACACACGCATACACACAAACACACACACAAAGAAGAAATAGAGAGGAATAAAGAAAAAAGCAAATAAATAGCTTAGAGAATTAATTTTTAGAATGTTAGTATTTTTATGAAGCAACCAGAAGCAGGGATTTGTCACACACTGAAACAAGATCATAGGCTGAGCAACTGTGCTGAGCTGAAAAACAGGATTTGGTTCAAGACTGTAAGTTTGTGAAAGCTGTTGGGTACCTGGGCTTGATGGAGGAGGTTGTGGGCAGTGAGAGAGGCACTGGAGTTGCAAATTTATCATCTTCCTCATCATCATCTTCACCACCACCACCATTATTATTTTGGGTTTTCAAGACAGGGTTTCTCTGTGTAGCCCTGGCTGTCCTGGAACTCGCTCTGTAGACCAGGCTGGCCTTGAACTCACAGAGATCCGCCTGCCTCTGCCTCCCGAGTGCTGGGACTAAAAATGTGTACCACCACCACCCGGCTTGGAGCTGCAGATTTGCAGGTAAAAGATGTTAGTCTGTGGAGACAGCTGACACAGGAGCTGCAATCGCAGACAGACAAGTCTGAGGGTGGCTCCAGAGAGCAAGCTCGGGAGGCAGGAAGGACGCGGAGAGGCGAAGGCTCCACACGCAGGAGGTCCTTTGGGGAAAAGGCTCTGCTGCCTTCTGTCTTCTCCCGTGGGGGTTCTTGGGATCAAGCTCCAGCCCTCAGGCTTGGTAGAAAGTGCCTTTAGCCAGTGATCCATCTTGCTGTCACCGTTTCACCTCTTGGGCACACCAAGTGGACATTGTGACGGTTACACATGCCATGATGTAAGACCAGACTACCGGCTTTGGACTGAGAAAATTTTCAATATGAAAACCAACTTCTCGGTTTATTTTATTACAAGGCAGAACTATTTATTGTTTTTAGGATCTTCCTATGTAGCTGTGGTTGGTTTGATATTAGATGGCCCAGACTGTCCTCAAGCTTGAGTCAGTTCTTACTCTCCCAGGTGCTGAGACACAGGTGAACCACCATGCTTGGCTGGAATGTCCACACTTAAATAGGAACGGTAGGGAGATGGAATCATGCTTCTGGGGTGCAGTGTGGTGCTCGGCGTAGGGCACGTGCCCCTACAGATGTGTCTAGGATAAACACAAGCCTATGACAGCATGGTGCCTTCAAAAGCCAGTGACAGATGAAGTGTAACTACAATACGGGGCATGTGTGTTTTAAGTCTGAATGCTAATGGTTTCCCACAAGCTTGTGTGTTTAAAAACTTGGTCCCCAGCTGGCAGCACTGCTTTGGGAATTCGTGGAGCCTTTTGCACTGGAATCTAACAGGCAGACATAGGGCCACATGAGGAAGCAAGAGGGCTATACAGCCAGTGCCAGTTTGGTCCGGAGTGCTCTGTTTTCTGATTCACCAAGATGTGCGTGGCAGGGCTGCCGAGGTGGCTGCATGAATAAAGTGTTTGCCACTCAAGTGGGGGGCCTGGATTTCAGATTCCCAGAACCCACATTAGTTCAAGTGGGCAGGAATGGCGACCCATCTGAAATTCCAGTGCTCACGAGGATCCTCAGAGCAGCCTGGCTAGCATCGACAAGCCCAAGCTTCAAGTTAGAGACCTTGTTTCAGTATAGAGAGGTGGAGAGCTTGGATTCAATATAGAGAAGGGTTCTGGCCTCCATGTACATATAGATACATGTACATGTACATATACATACATGTGTGCACAGATGCATGTGAACACACAAACCCAGAGCATGTATACACACATACAAACAAAACAAAAAATGAAGTGAAGAGCCCCAGATGCATACTTTGCCTGCCATGCTTTCTCTGCCTTGATAGGCTGCGAGCCTCTCAAACTCTGAGGTGAAGTCAACCTCCCCTCCTCCAAGTTGCTTCTGTTAGGTGTTCTAGTGCAGCAACAAGTGGTTAAGTGGTAAACATACTAAACAAACTCTACCATGGCTGCCACTTCCTCTCGCCTGGCTCTTGAGTCAAAGGTGAGACGGCCGATGCCTTCCCCATTTGCTTATTACACACATCACAAACACTGTGTGTTACCATGCAAACCCTTCCAGGCTTCCCATCGTTCTCTTAGTAAAACTCCACACTCTGCATCCTTTCCTGACATCCACGGCCAGAGCCACACCCTTCTCTCTGTGCACTGAGCACAAGAGGCTTTGTCCGCTCAGGACACGCGCATCTGCTGTTGGCCTGCCTTGCCTTCCTGTGGTTCCATGTAAGTCCCTCTCATCCTTTGCGGGCAGCTCACCTTCTGCTACCCTAGGCAAGGACAGCTCCTCCACTGCTTTCTACCACCAACACACTCTTTTTCCATCTAATAATTGCTTCAACTATAACACTTATTTTAAAAATGTAGCTTATTCCACATATCTCCACCAGGAGTTGAATTCTGTGGCAACAAATGCTTTGTATCTGTGGCTCCCAGAGCAAAACTGAGGAAGATTAGTCAGCAGCTCCGAGAGCTACTATAGCGCTGTGGCCTCAGTCAGGCAGCTCACCACTGAGCAATGGGGGCCTTGAACTTAGTCCTGTTACATAAACACAGATCCATGCTATCACATGCCGTTGGGGATGTAGACATAGAGATGTTTAGCTCCCAATGACCAAAGGGAGTCTCTAAGGTTAAGAGAGAACCCAGAGGAGAAAACAAGGACCGTAGCCTCCAGCCACACCTTTATTTCCTTCAAGTACAAATACCAGGAAGGTTCCAGGAGCCCTGAGTGACAGCCTGAGTGACTCGCTGTGCACAAGTTTGATGCTGGGTGCCCAGAATTGGGA